GCTTAAGCCCAAGAGTTTGAGGTTGCTGTGGGTTGGGACACCACAACACTCTACCAAGGGTGACATAGTGAGACTCTGCCTCCAGGGTGGCACCTGTGGCTCTAAGGAGTAGGATGCCAGCCCCATATGCTGGAAGTGGCAGGTTCAAACCCAGCATCGGCAAAAAAAAAATAAATCCGTCAAAGGAATAAGGGATCTGGCCTTAGAATTAAGGGCACAATCAAAACATACCTAACCTCAGCAAATGTAAAAACAATACTACACAGGGAAACAGTGATAAGTCAGTAAGTTACTCAGAAAAAAAAAAAAAAAAGAATTCAGAGTTTTCTGCAAAGTACCATTTATAATGTACATGATACAATAAAAAATTGGTAGACATGAGCAAAGTAGATAAATGGGATCCACAGTTAAGAGAAAAATAAAAAACTGTCCCTGAGAAGACTCTGTTATAGGAATTAGCATATATTATATGCTCTATTAGGTGTTATGTGTCCACTGACTTTAAAAGATATGATCACAACAAATAAATACATGAAAAGTTTCACCAGAAATGAAAACATAAAATGAGCCAAATAGAAATTCTAGAATTGAAAAACACATTATCTAAAATTAAAAATTCGCTGGACGGACTTTAAAGTAAATTGAAGATAGAAGAAGAAAAGGTCAATGAATCTGAAGACAGGTAACGGAAATCAGATAAATTAAAAAAGAGAGAATAAAACAAAAAGAGAAAAAGAAAGTCTCAGGCACCTGTAGTAGAATTTTAAGTTATCTAGCATATATGCAGTTGGAATCGGAAGAGAAGAAAAGACAATGGGGCACAAAAAAAGTTATGAAAATAGTGACCAAATATAGCTGACTACCTCTCTACATTGATCACCTTCTTAAATTGACCTCATTTTCATAGACCATACATATGCCACATGAACTAAGACCTAGATCCTTATGTTGATATACTTCCTTATATTAATAGACTGACCAGTTTGTTATAGTCCTTTGGGTGGTCACTTTGGAGAGGTTCTACTCTATTTCCCAAATTCAGTGAAGATCACTGGCTTTCTGAGCTAGGATCAGCAAATTCTAGGTAGATTAAAATACAAAGAAAACAACACCTAGCCCAATCACAAATAAAACTGTTGAAAACCAGTGACAAAGAAAAAACCTTGAAGGTAGCCAAAGAAAAAAGCCATGTTACATAGCTGGGAGCAACAATATAAGTAAATAATAGCAAGCTATTTACCATAAGCAATTAAGATTAGCAGACAAAAGAACAACATTTTTAAAGAGTTGAAAGATAAAAAAAATCTCAAACCAGTTTTCTTATGTTACAAAAGGAATTACGAATACAAATAGGGAGGGAGAAATCTAGGACCAACCCTGTAGTGTTGAACTGGTGTTGGAGGTATCACCGTGAATTCATGGTTTATTTTAAAAAAGGAAAAAATAGATACAGTAGAACCTCTGTAAGATGACCACCCAAGGGACTGTAACATACTGGTTAATGTAAGGATAGGCCTACTGTACTGATAAAAGTATATCTGGTGCATGTATCTGGTCCAATCTATGAAAATTAGGTCAACTTAAGAAGGTGAACAACATGAAGGTTCTATTGTATATATAAGAGAAAAGTTGGTGTTTGAATTTTGGCTTCTAAATACCATTCTGCTCTAACAATAGCCACAGATCCCTTAAATCTGGCTGATTCCAGGACTGACCAGAGGATGGAGATATAATCACGGGGCACAGAAGCCAGCCTAAAAGGCTTTCATGAACCCAATATGAAACAATTTGAGGAGTAAAAGATATTAACAGATTACAATCTGCTGAATAAATAGAAAACATTTCTTGAAATACACAAATTACCAAAAATGACACAATATGAAACAAGAAATCCAAATACCTCTATACCTATTAAAGCAATTGAAACTGCTATAAAAAAACTTCCCATATAAATTTAAATGGTAAGTTTAAAAATTTTCCACAAAGAAAACTCCAGGTCCAAGTGGTTTCGCTGGTGAATTCTGTGACATTTTATGGTAGAAATGTACCATATATAAATGCTCTTAGAAAATGGAGGAAAGAAAAAGACTTCCTTCTCAACTCCTTTTTACGAGGCCAGCACAATACTGATACCAAAACCTAAGAAAGTCTTTAAAAAGGCTCAGCGCCTATAGCTCAACCGGCTAAGGCGCCAGCCATGTACACCTAAGGTGGCGGGTTCGAATCCCCAGCCCGGACCCGCCAAACAACAATGAC